TATATGTGGTGGATGTATAGTGTGTGCAAGGCAGTAGACACGTAACATCTGCAATCATTTGCAATCCCCATCCATTGCGTGGACTGAGCCTATTTGAAAATCTACCTTTTAATTTGTTCCCAAAATTACAGGCTGTGTTTGGGGGGCAAAGCCACGGTCTCCTACTCCATGCTCCCTTGCTCCCCTACTACCTCCGAGGGACGTCTCACGCCTCCATTATCCACCCGTGCTTAAAACCTGGTTTCACAGCGGGGGAAGGGCCCTGGAGCGGAGCTACGCCACACCGTTAGGTCCGGCCCAGTCAGGCCTGACAGCCCCGGAGCGGGGCTGTGCCACGCTTCCGGCCCAGGCCGCAGGGGGCGGCCCGGGCCCGACGCTTCTCGTCCGGGCGCAGGCGCTGCCAGGAGCTCGCGGTGGAGGACAGCCCGCCCGGGGACCGCGGCTCCATGCGCTGCCAGGTAGGTGCCGCTGTTCCCGGTTCGGTGGCGTCTGTGGGGAGCGGCCTCCGGTTAGAGGCGAGGCGGGTCTCGGGGTGGCGGGGCTCCCTCAGTCCCTCTCCTCGGCGGGGTGCTGGCGGTCGGCGGGCACGGCCTGGACGGCTGGAGTGGGGCACGGATCCGCACTGGCTTACAGCCCCCTCCCCCGGCTCTCATCCTGACAACCAGAGCATGAGGAACGTGACAGAGCTTGTAGGCATAAAAAAAAGCCAGGGAAAGCTTTTCTTCACGCTGTTTTGGTTTCGTTTGTTTTGTTATTTTCGAGAAGTTAATGTGCAATAGCGGGTTTTCTTCAGCAGGCCCCTGCTCCCCTGAACGGTGTTTGTTCCTCGAGCAGGTCACCGTGCAGTATTTCACCAGGAGCACGGAGCTGGCAGGGCTGTGCTCTGAGACCCTCTTGGTGCCACAGCAGATCACCTCTCTGCAGCTCTGGGAGAAGATTGTTAAGATTCATCCAAGGTATTTGGGAAAGTTACTGCTGAGGTGCACAAAGTTTAACATGGCTTTTTTTTTTTTGTAAAGAAATAAAAATTCAGTGTTTATAGTTGAGCTGGAACATGTATTGGTACTTTGGTACCATAAAAACAGTGAATTTACCTTGTTCTTGTAACCTGCAGTGAGCATTTTGTGTTTTGGCCAATTGCAAATACTATAGCTTTATGTATATGCTAGGAAAGACTAGGTCCAATAAATGTACCCAAAAGTTGGGTATGAGGGGTAATTTAAGATATGTGGCCCATTGTCTAGGAGGGCCACAGTGTGGTAACTCCGCTGCATGTGAAAACAGAACACCTGAGCTGTGTTAGTACCTGTGGAGAACACAAGATGTGTCAAGAAGGGATCTAGCATAGCCAGGGCAATAAATAAGAAATTCATGATAACATGCAGGTGTTTCTGATCACTATACTGTTAACCATTAACTAACTAGGCTGTTAGCCGTTAGTCTGAGCTTATGGCACCCTCTGGAAGGCAGGTCAAGAAGGGAACAGAAGCCCTGCTATGGGTTCCAGCTACTCAACCCTTACACAGGAAATAGGCTTAGCCACTTTCAACCTCCTCTGCTTCTAAAAAAAAAAAAAAAAAAAAGCATTGTTGGTTGTGTTTTATAGGGTCTGGTCCTGAGAGCGTGCTAGGTGTGCGCTTTAAGGACCCCTGCAGCACTGGTGCTCTTTGGGGGTGTCAGCAGAAGGTCCCCCTCAGGTGAGGGAATGTGCTCAGTGTTGTCAAGAATGAGTCTGATTAACAAAGGTCAAACACTGTTTGGGAAAAAAAAAAAAAAAGGCATAACAGAGATTGAGGTCTTCAGGATTTAGTGCTGCACTGGAGTGCTGCACTGGACTTTAGCACCAAAGTCTTCCTTTAGGTACCACCATTCTTTATTAGACCTACTCTCAAAGGCTATGAAAAAAACCCAACTATTTAGCAATGGCAGCTGTTTCCAAATGAGAAGCTCTAACCAAATGTTAGACCAGGGGCCTTTTCCTCACACAGAATGAGACCAAGTGTGTTTTGGGGGAGGAGGCAGTAAGGAATGACTATATTTTACTTTGCAGCCTATTATTCAGAGTCAGAAGCAGCAGCACCTTTGGTTACTTTGCCATAGTTTCTCAACTTTGTCCTTTTATGGATGATGACTTGGAGGTGCTGGAGTGTGTCCAGAGGAGGGCAATGAAGTTGGTGAAGGGTCTGGAGCACAAGTCTTGTGAGGAGCGGCTGAGGGAGCTGGGGTTGTTTAGTCTGGAGAAGAGGAGGCTGAGGGGAGACCTCTACAACTGCCAGAAAGGAGGCTGTAGCAAGGTGGAGGTCGGTCTCTTCTCCCTAGTAACAAGTGATAGGATGAGAGGAAATGGCCTCAAGCTGCGCCAGGGCAGGTTTAGGTTGGATATTAGGAAAAACTTCTTCACTGAAAGAGTAGTCAGGCACTGGCACAGGCT